TCCTTCGGGACTACGCCATTCACCAACACACCGAGTTCCCAAGGTGTCACATGCACATTGGGCACTATGTGGTGTCAGAGCAGTTGTTTTCAATGGTAGCTGGAAATTATCTGAAAGCTAAAGTCCTCTATGGATATGGAGTTCATAGCACATGACCAACAATCTACAACCTTGGCTTGCGTGGGGAGCTAAACATGCTTCATTCAATACAGTGTGGTCTCTGGGCATTAGACAAAAAGTAACTAAACTGGGTTTCTGGGAGAGCTACGTGTAAGCCTGATGGTATTTGAAGTTAGGGACCCACATGGAGTTGTTCTGCCATTAGAAACCTCAGTTGTATGTGGTGGGCTATGCCATTACCAACATGTTGAATTCAGTATTTGTTACCTGAAGATTCAGGTTTCTGTGGTGTCAGAGAAGTTGTTTGGAATGCTAGCTGCAAATCTCATGGGCAAAGAAGTGCTTTCAAGATGTGGAGTTCGTAGCACATTGAGCAAGAATCTGCAACCTTGTTTTTCTGTGTGGGTGCTCAACATGCTTCATTGCGATAGAGTGCATTCTATGGGAATTAGATGAAAAGAGACAATTCTGGGTTTCCACGAGAGCTGCTTTTAGGTCTGGTGGTATGTGAGGATAGTGACCCACATGGAGTTGTTCTGCCATAGAAACCTCTGCTGTATCTTCTGGACAATGCCATCCACCAACAGTCTGAGCTTCATAAGTGTCACATGAACTTCAGCAGTAAGTTGTGCCAGCGCAGGTTTTTTTTTAAGATTTCTTTTAATTTTTAATAGAAAGAAGCACAGAGGTGATGCGAGATAGCGAGGAACATCTCCCGTCTGTGGGTTCACTCTCCACGCACCTCCAAGGGCTGGAGCTCTGCTGATCCGAAGCAAGGAGTAGCGAGCCTCTTCTGGGGCTCCCATGCAGGTGCAGGGTCCCACCGTCGGGCCATCCTTGACTGCTTTTCCAGGCCATAATCAGGGAGCTGGATGGGAATCGGGCCACAGAGACTAGAACCAGCACTCAGATGGGATTCTGGAACATGTAGCTACTGGGCTACCACACTCGGCCCGCAGAGCTGGCTGAAAATTCCTTGGGCAGTGAATTTATTTTTTTATGTGGAGTTCAAAGCACATTGAGTGAGAACCTACAACCTTGATTTGTGTGGGTGCTCAGCATGCTTCATTTCAATACCTTGCACTCTATGTTCATATATGAAAAGTAATGAGATGGAATTTCTGTGACAGCTGCTTGCACGCTTAATTTTGTGTTACGTTAGTAACCCAAATTGAGTTGTCCTGCCAGCAGACCCCCTGCACTGTATGTTCCGGACTTTGCGGTTCCCCAACATGCGTGTCCCCTAGGCGTCACAAGTACATTCAGCATTATGTGATGCCAACAAAGTTTTTTGGATGCTAGCTGAAGATCACTTCAGCACTGAAGTTCTTTTGGGATATGGAGTTCATAGCAAATTGAACAAGAATCTATGACATTGGTTTGTGGGGTGCTCAACACGCTTCATTTTAGTATAATGCACTCTATGGGCTTTACACAAAAAGTGACAAAACCGGGTTTTTGTGAGCACTGCTTGTAAGCCTGATAGTAGGTGAACTTACTTATCAACCCAAATGGAGTTGACCTGTCAGTGCAACACCTCCACTCTATCTTCTAGATTGTGCCATCCACCAGCAATGTGCTGAGTTCCCTAGATACCAAATGCATGTTCAGCAGTGTGTGGTGCCAGAGCAGTTTTCAATGCTAGCTCAAAGTCGCTTGCGCTCTGAAGTTCTCTCTGGATATAGAGTTCATAGCCAGTTCAGGAGATTCCTGCACCTTCTGTTCCATTCTGTTTTCAATACAGTGCATTCTATGGGCAGAAATCCCTCATTTTTGAAGTGTAACACTACTTGGTTCCAGGCTTAGTGTCAGTGTCAGGCTCAGTGTCACGGTCAAGGTCTGGCTCAGGGCTTAGTTTCAGGGTAAAGGCTCAGGGCTCAGGGCTAATGCTTAGGCTCAGTCTCAGTCTCAGGCTGTGTGTCAGAATTAGTGTCAGGTCAGGGATTGAGTTCAGGCTCAATGTCAGGGTCAGGGCTCACAGTCCTGGTCAGGCTCACAGTCATGGTCAGGGTTAGGGCTCAGGGTCCTGGTCAGTGTCAGAGTCAAGGTCAGAGCTTAGGGTCACAGTCAAGTCTCAGGGTCCTGGTTGGGATGAGGCTCAAAGTCAGGGCTCAAGCTCAGGCTCAGATCTTGCAGTCAGGCTCAGTGTTAGTGTCAGGCTTGGGGGTCAGGCTCATGGTCAGGGTCAATCTCAGGCTCAGGCTTAGCATCAGAGTCAGGCTCAGGATCAGTGTTAAGACTTCAGGTAAGGGTCATGGTCAGGTTCAGCGTCAGGGTTAGGCTCAGCTCAGGCTCAGGCTCAGGGTCAACCTCAGGGTCAGGATCAGGCTCAAGACTAGGCTCAAAGTCAACTCAGGCTCTGGGCTCAGTGCTCAGCTCAAGGCTCAGGCTAGGGCTCAGGGTTGGGCCTGAGCAATGGCTGTCTTGGCCACTGGAGGATGTTTCCCTGCAGCCTCACCCCCACCAAGAGGGACCACTCCCCTGCCTGCAGGTCTGAATGTTGCTGCTCAGTAGGCTGCTTAGGAACAGCACCTGGAAGTTGGGTGGGGGGGGTGGTGTCTCAAACAGAACCACTTCCTGGCCGGCTGACACACCCATCGCAGCTAACTTATGAGGAGCATGTAAGGGAGAGCAAAACAAATCAAAATGATCCAAAAGTGCTCCATTAAAACAAACAGGGCTTAGCGTCGCGGTGTACAAGATTCCCTCTGTTTCCATAGTGACCAGAAGGTTCTGGTACCAGATGGAGGCTGGGGAGAGCATGTCACTACTGTGACCTGCCTCACTGCCCTGATTCAATGCCCGTCAATGAAACACTGCTGGAAGGATGGCCCTGGGTGGACAGAGGGCAGGCGGTCTGCAGGGAGCTGTCCGCAGCCTAGGGCTGTCCTGCTGGCTCTCCCTCCCACCCCTGCGGTGCCCTCTTGATTGGAATCAGCACAGTGGCACTCGAGTGGCCCTGCCTGCTCCCCTGGCATCCTGGCATCTAACTCTCACAGTCATCTCAGTGGAGCAGGCAGGAGCCGCCAACAATCAGAAGGTACAGCAGCTGGCCTGGCTGCCATGCTAAAAGGCTGCCTCCTTCTCTCCTTGGGAAGCCGCACCCAGCAACTCTGCCCCTCCATACTGCCCCAACGCCTCCACCACTGGTTGGGCAGGGGGTGTCTGTATGCAGCTATCTGTGCTGTATCCTTGGCCTTACATCCCCATTGGCTGGGTGTCCTCCAGTGAGAAGAGCAGGGACACCCCCCCGCAACCCCCGCTGGTTTTTGACCAGAAGTTTGGCGTTGTGAGCCGTGAACTTCAGCCAAGCTGATCTGGTGGCTCTTGTAGGCCCAAAGGGGCTCCTGCCAAGGCCAAGGAGGAGCTTGGGCAGTTCCTCTGGCTGGGGTGCAGGAGGCAGGGGCAGTCAGAGGACAATAGCCTATACCAGCAGAGCCTGTCTGCCTGTGGTGATAAGGAAGAGAGAGAGACAGAGACAGAAAGAAAGAGAGAGAGAGAGAGAGATTTCCCATCCACTGGTTCACTCTCAAATGGCCACAACAGCCAGGGAAGGGCCAGGGCAAACCAGGAGCCAGGAACCCCATCTGGGTCTCCCACATTTAGACCATGGTCCACTACTTCCCAGGCACATTAGCAGGCAGCTGGACAGGAAGCAGAGCAGCCAGGACTGGAGCTGGCATTCTTAGATGGGATTTTGGACTTGCCAACAGTGGCTTAACTCGCTGTGCCACAGTGGAACCTTACCCCAGGATGGTACAGAAATAAAGAGTTCCCCTCCCCCTCATTCATGAACTCAGCCAAGTCCTCTATTTCCTCCTGGTTAGGGGGCTGCGATTGGGTATCCCGTTATCATCATTGCATACAACTACCCAAATCTGGCATTTTACTTTTGGTACGAGTCCTCAGACTCAGTTTTTTCCTCTTCATTCGCGGACGTAGTCAGGCCCCAGTTTTACCATAGTACACGGGTATGTCCGTGTCCCCCACGCCCTTCAGCTTGCACAGCCGTGACCAACGTCCCGACTTCGCCTTCACTGCATCAGCACACGAGGCCTCCATTTTCTATTTGTCCATGTTCCTGGCAGAGAATCATCTTATTCTCCGTGTCCCCTGTAATGCTGCCTGACTCCCTGTAATTCTATGGATAGAATCCGGCCAGCAATTTCTCATCTCCCTCCCATGGCACCCACTGAAGATTGCTGCTTCTCTCTCGGGTCTACCCTCTGTCTGGCTTCTCCCAGACCTCCAGGACTGGCTCGGCTTGTCTGGGACCGAGTGGACTCCGTGGGACTCGTAGCTGCCACCACTGCCTGTGAGGCCACTGTGCAGGTGCAGGGGGACGCCTGATGAGTCTCGACAGGCTTGGGGTGGGTGGGAGGGTGACGGTGTCCAGCACTGCGTAGGAAGACCGTGTCGTCTCAGTGTCGTGTGACAGATGAACTGCAGGTAGCAGAGGGTCCAGGATTTGGTGTCCAGCAAAGGAGTTGAAGCTGAGGCAGCTGGGCTTTGACACTAGGCTTTTCTCCTTTTTATTTTCCTATTTTTCACAGATACAAATTTTATTTTATTTTAAATTATGTCTTTATTTTGAATCAACTTCAGTTGTAGAAGAGGTTACAAAACAGCACACAGCTCTCTTATCCCACTTTCCTATTCCTTAGCATACATTCACTCATCTAAACATCCTGACCAACTGGAGTGAGACCTCATCTTAACTCACTTTTTTCTTTTGATGGGGTACTCTTGCAGGCTTGGAGGTACAGGCAACAGCTTGCCTCCAGGCCCTGTAGTACTAACACCTGAACCAGGCTCCCAGCCGCTCCTTCCTCATAAACACTGGCATTACCTCACAAGGCTGCCCTGGCGTCACAGAGAGGTGTGATGAGCTGGCACAGGGCCTGCAGGTGCAGGTGGAAATCTGGGACAAATGAGACGCAGGCGAGTCAGGACAGCCCGTCTCTGCAGGCACCCAGGGGGAGTGGTGGATGCTGTGCTGGCTCGGTTGGACCCCGAGGTAGGCACGAGGACATCATCCCTCATACGCCCTGTGGCTGATTTGCTGCATCTCAGTTCAAGTTTACCTCCCTCCATGGGCTCCCCTCTTCCCATCAGCATCTCTGCCCTGTCTGCTGCACCTGACATAGCATTACAGATTGTGTCAGCATGAGGGCTGGGGGAGGAGCTTCAGAGCTCCGTAGGGATCTTAGAGGGACCAGTTTGGGCATCTCAGTGTCTGTTTCTCTGTTGCAGCAAGGCCACCCCCCTGGCAAGTGAGTGACTGGTGCCACCCTTCCCAGCAGGTGCATTTTGGGTGGAAAGTTTCTGAGCCTTCAGAGATGGAGGGAGGTTGCTGGAGGATGCCCCTGATGGTGCTGATGGTCCTGACTCTGGCGGTGACCCTGGGCCACTTTCAGCACTGGGGTGGCTTCCAGGAGAAGCCAATGAGCAAGAAGAACATGAACTCCACACTTAACTTCTTCATTCAGTCATACAACAACAACAGCAACGACACCTACCTGTTTCGGGTGCAGAAACTCCTCCGGAGTCAGATGCAGGTTCGTGTGTGGGTTCTGTGGCAGCCCTCCTCACCCCTCCCTGGTCCCCCTGACCACAACAAGGCTCTGGTGTCCCTCCCGGGATGCCAAGGGACAGTTTCTCAGGTTGGGAAGCATCTTCCCTCTGAACGGGCATGTCTTTGGGCTGTGTTTGTCCTTGCCCCCCCAAAGGCCTCCTTTGGCAAATCTCGACTTTCTTTGCCACTTCCCCTCCCCAACAGCAGCTTCTCTTGTCCACGTTCAGGGTGGTGCAATCCAAGACTGGATTTCTGTGTCGCACACACCCTTGGCATCACACAGAGGGTCTTGTTTTCACTTTGGGAGGGGGTGGATGGGGAAGGGAGGAAGGTCGGCGACAGGGGCAGGCCTGAGGCACAGTGGCTAAGAGGCCATTTGGAGTGCCTGCATGTCATAGTGGAGACGCCTGGGCTCAAGCTGACTCCCAGGTCAGCTTCCTGTTCACGTGGAGGCAGCAGCAATGAATGGCTCAGGTCCTTGGCTCCCTGCCCCCCACGTGGGGCTCCTGCATGCAGCTGGGCTCCTGCGTCCCGGCTCAGGTCTGGCTGTTGTGGGCATTCGTGGGGAGTGAACCACACGTGACATATCTCTGTATCTCGCTCTGCATTGTAAGTACAGAATTAATTTTATAAAGGAAAAAATATAGGCTTAGAAGGGATCATCCCTCTTATGTTTACATATACATCGCCTGAAGGATGGAAGAGGAAGGAATACCTGTTTGGAAATCACTTGTGTTGATCCAACCATTTCTGTGTCAGATGGATGCCACCGCATGTTGGCTCCCTACGTCCTTTGTGTGTGTGTGTGTGTTGTGGGGAGTCGATGAGGGGTGGAAAGACCTCTAGTTAGAGAAAGGAGCAAAGGGGTGGCTGTGGGTGGGGAAGGGTGACAGTGTCCCCTGGCCAGATGGGGTCCCACTGGCACTGCAGGCTTTCCAGCAGGTCCCTGTGCCAGCATACACTTAAACCACAAGGTGGCAGTGTTGCTCGCATGGCTGCTTGATCTGACCAGTTTTCCAAGCTAAGTCTGGGATCCCCCAGCAGGCCCGGGTTGTGCCATCAGTCCACTATGACCTACATGAATGTGCACGGCAGGTCTGCCCCTGGAAGCTGGGTGGGCACTCCTGGATCCCAACATGAGGGATCTTCTCTGAGATCCACGGGGACAGCACAGGAGGTGCACAAGGAGTGGGGGGATCCTCCTAAGGCCTGGCAGCCTGCTCACTAACTTGTGGGACTCTTGGCCCACAAGGGTCTCCTGGTCTCAGGATGCTCACCTGGAAGATGGCTGAGGGTGAGAGAGGCGCCCTCAATAGAGACTTGTGGAAGATACGACTGCAATTGTGAGAATTGCTCTTCTTCCTCAGCTGGATTAGCCATGAGCAATACCAACCCACGAGCATTCGTGAGACACGGTAGCACTGGAGTGTGGGAATGGGTGACAGGACACTGTGCATGCTGTGTGTGCAGCTGGGGTCTCAGCGTTTACCTACACACACAGTGGGTGATGGGCAGCAGGGCCAGAGCCTGGCACAGTCCTGCATGCTGCCCAGGTGTGGGTGCAACTGTTTTCTGGTCAAGAACAGGGTACACCTGCTCCTGGGGATACTTTCAGTGGATGCCACAGTTGATGTTTCAACAGTGAAGGATGGAGAGACAGAGAGAGAGCGCTTGCTCCCAGGCACCTGCCCACTCTGTAAACGCCAATAGCAACGGGGCTGCTGCTGGTCTGGTGTGAGTATATAGTGCAGGTCTCTAGCAGGGCAGAGGGCTCTGCCAAGCCTGTCAGCCCCAGTGACTGCCTAGGGCAGGGCAGGGCAGGGCAGGGCAGGGCAGGGCAGGGGGCTCCCCCAGGCCTGTCAGCCACAGTGACTGCCTAGGGCAGGGCAGGGCAGGGCAGGGGGCTCCCCTAGGCCTGTCAGCCACAGTGACTGCCTAGCTGGGCCTGCATTAGCAGGAACCTGGAGTCAGGATTGAGAGCTGAGAACTGAACCCAAGAAATGCGACACAGAATGTATTTTAACCCCTAGCACGCCTATCCCCTGCCCCGTCCTGACAATTTCAAAGGTGCCTTCCCCATCTTCCAACATCCCAGGCAGGACAACAGCTTCTCCTGGCCTTGGACCTTGGACCCGCGATGCTTGGGCAAGGCAGCAGGGGCTCCCAGGAACTTCTCCTCCACACAGCAGAGCTCTCCCATGGAGGTGTCAGTTCCCAGCAGGGGAACTGTGGCCATAGAATCCTAAGTCTGTTTCACTCCCCTGTTCACCAAGGCTACCCAGGCATCCTGCCCCGGCCTCAAGTCTCCCTGGCCTCATACTTAGTCACGTGGTAAAGAAGACAGACTGGCCAACGGGCATGGCACTGGTGCTACATGCCCCATGACTTGTGTGGCCATCACAGCCCCTCCCTCCAGCCTCAGTACCCTGAGGGGGACAGGGCAGGATTCTCCTGTTTTTCTGGATGAGCATACTGAGGCCCAGGGAGAGGCTGGGGCTAGCCTGTGTGACACGGTTCACAAGAGACCAAGTCAGACCTCCAGCATGATTCTCTCTGCTCTGTTGGTTTGCCTACTCCATAGCTGTGCCCTGGACACGTTGCTAAGACATTCAATAATGTGTTAACTCATCTGTGTGCGCTGAGGGGGTCAGGAGCTTGCACCTCGCCCACAGAACAGCTCCATGAGCAAGCACATTGGCCGCCTGCACTTAGGACATGGCTGAGTCACCTACTCAAGGTTGTCATTGATATTCCCAGGGACACAGGTCCCAAGGCAGTTGGTTCCCAGACTCGTGCTTCCTGCAGGTTTCCCAAAGGATGGCAGGGACCCAAGCACTCAGCTGTCCTCCACTGCTTTCCCAGGTGCATCAGCAGGGGGCTGCATGGGCAGTGGAGTGGTGGGAACTGGAACCAGTGCTCATACAGGATGCCCGTGTTGCACGAGCTACAACGTGGGGCTCTAGACTCCTTGTCTTTGTTGCTAAGTGGCCTCCCTCAGGTTGGCGGGAAGGATCTGACAGGGCAGGGGCAAGGTGCCTGGTTCCATTATGAGGACCATCTGGGGCCCACCTGGGAGTGACCTGTGGTTGCTAGGCAACCCAGCTTGCTGTCACCTCCCTTGTGGCAAAAATGGAAGGAAACAGGTGAGACACGTGCTCTGTTGAGAGTCTGTGCCAGGTGTGAGAAGGGGTTGGCCAGGCCCCTTAGTGAGTGTCCTGGTGCCTCATCCGGGCTGGAGGGGAAGGGGAGCCACATTTGGTGGTGGGGAGCTCTGGGCAGCAGGACTGTGGCTCCCGGGGTTTCATCTGAAGCCCTGGAGTCTCGGGGAGAGAGGCACTGCGGGGTTGGGGTGCATGCGTAGCTACTGGACACACAGAGGCACACCTGATCATGGAGGGCTGCTGGGGTTTCTCTGCAGCTGACCACCGGAGTAGAGTACAAGGTCACGGTGAAGATCGGCCGCACCAAGTGCAAGAGGAGTTCCAGAACAAACTCTTCCTGTCCCCTGCAGAAAAAGAAGTTGAAAAAGGTGACCAGCGGCCAGATCCATGTCATAGGGGCCGGGGAACTCACACTAGAGGGGGAAGAACGGGCACCAAGGAAGGTACCGCCCAGCCATGAGTGCTGTGTTGGCTGGCCCTAGGACCTCACACCTCCCTGACGACACACAGGGAAGGAAGAAGGCTCCTTGGCCAGGGCCTCTGGTCACCTGGCTGCTTCTGCAGCTGCTCCTGGCCTGCTTTGCTTGGGATCAGCTTCTGCCTCTGGGTCCCTAGGGACTGTCCAGTTTTCCCACACTACCCCCCCAGTTCTGCCCATGTTGACACCAGCAGAAGACTGGAGGTCATGTCCACTCACCATTGCTGTAGGTACCAGGGGCCAGGTGAGGAGCAGGAGGGCAAGGCCATGGGCCCAGAGTCTTGCTAGGCCACATGGTTCCAGGTTCACCTGCTGAGGGGTTGTGTGTCCCCGCCCAGTGCCTGCGTGGTCCATGAGCAGCCACAGGGTTGGGGCCTGGGGGAGGACGGGCAGCCTCCGTTGCCTAAGAAAACTGACTGTTTCCTTCCTCGTCCACAGAGTTTGATTTGTGAGTCTCTGATCTACACGGTGCCCTGGATTAATTATTACCGGATGTGGAACAATTCCTGCCATGACAACTGAGTGTTGGTGTGAAGACCCTGATGTGGCCCCAGATAGCTGTGTGGGGCTCTGGCTGTCATAAAATTCTAAAGGCTGTTAGTCTCACTCATTGGGGCCTTCCCCCACCACACACACACACACACACACACACACACACACACACACGTGGCTCTGCCCTGAATTTGCCCGTCCCTCTGGATCCAGGCACACCCTGACTTGTGACCTGAGCCAGCCTGAGACTTGTGTGCGCACACAGCATGGTGGCTCCCCCTTGCACCAGAGTGTGTACACATGAGGTCAGAGACAAGCCAGGTTGACTGATTCTCTAGAAACCCTCGTAGGGACCATGCTTCTGGAAGCTGTGACCCTGCCCCAGGCAGGAGACAGGAAGCAAAATCAGCAAAGAGATGAGGCCAGGGGTGGAGACGAGACCAGGGTGCCCAGGTGGGAGCTTCCAGACCCTTCCTGCGGTGTGACCACACGGAACGCACCTGAGTGATGGGGCTTCCCCACATCAGAGGCAAAATGTGCAGGGTTTCTGCTGGGGACCAGTCAGGCCTGCAGCTTGTACCCCAAGTGTCCAGACTCCTGCTCCCAGGAGGACAGCGGGCGTTAGGCCCACCCAACAGCTTAGGCACCCTGGAGTCACTCTTGCCTGCAGAGTTGGTGCTCAATGCTGACATCTGTCTGCCACCCAAGTTCCCAGCTGTAGCCCAGCTCAGCTCAGCCTTGCCAGGGTGGCCTGCAGGTACTCTTTGGAGTGGAATGACACTCATGGTCCCCTGGACAAGGTGCATCCCGGACAGCCAGGCTTGGACATAGACCCAGAGTACACCAAGTGTGTCCATGACCATCTGACCTGCTGCCTGGGCTCCTGCCTCCATGGTGATGAGACGGCATTGCCAAGGATGACAGGAAACACACCAGCGTGACCTCCACGGCTGCCAGAGTGGCCAAGAGGGAAAGGGAGTGAAACTCCCACTGCACTTCTGACCTCACCAAGGGCTGCCTCGTGTCCCCTCCTCTGCCTTCATCACAGCCCTGGAAACGGTGCCTCCTTCATGGGCGAGGAGCCTCCCCACGTCCCCCAGTCCAGATGCGTCCCCCAGTCAGGCTGACCTTAGGGCTGGAAGCCATGCCCCCTGTGGCTTGGGGCCTCTTGAGTTCAGTATGGCCATACTGTTGTCTGCTTGTGATTCACTCATTACTGGCTGCAATTCCATTGTGTAACATACACCCTGTTGTACGTATCCATCTCTTGCTTCTGGACTTTTAGGGCAGTGATGTCTACTTGCTTTTGTAAATTAAGTTTTGTTGGAACCCCAAAGGTGAAAAGATAAGCATGTATTCACAGAAAGCACTCAGCAATGGCCGAACCACCTTTTGTGTGTGCCCAGGATGGAAACACACTGACAAGATGCGCATTCATTTAGCTTTTGGCTATGTTTGCTGTGAATCTTCAACCTGTTTTTATACTTTATTTTGTTTTCTGATGTTGTTTACTGATTTAAACTCTGCTTAAGCTGCCAGGTTCTTACTTTAAAAAGATCCTCCCCAGGTGCAGGCAGCTGGCTAGGTTACCTTGTACCTAACAAGTGCTACATTGCTGGGAGACAAGCAGCGGGTAGCCAGCAGGCATTCCTGGCCTGGGCACTGCTATGTTTATGTTAACTATACCAGTATGCCAGCATGGTTGCTTATTCTGTTTTGAAAAGCTATGTGGGGAGGTAGGGAACCCTGGGTTGGGACATGCTGGGGTCGGCGCAGTAGGCATGGATGACCCGAAGGTGTGAAGAGAACTGCTCCTCTGCTGGCAGGGCCTAGAGGAGCTTCCAGCTGTGTCAAAGCCTGGTGAATGTCTCTTCTCACCACTTCAACGCAGTCTCCCCACCCCCTTTGCATGGACACTCAGCCACCCCACTAGGAATTGAGACATTGTTGTTTGCCCCAAGAGATGGCTTTTGTAACTGATGTGAGCTTGGGAGTTAATGTTACTGATAATGTCTAGGTGAGTGGGCCTTTAACTACACACAGGAGTACAATTAAACCCATGCCGTTTCTGAACACTGTATTGTGTGCCTACCCATTGCCCCGGAATCTGGCCCAGACATGAGGCATGTCTTCTTAGAAAGGGCTTGATAAGAATCTTACAAACTAACGGGAGTGATGGGAGTATGAGCTGAACTGCTATGACAAAACATAGTTACTGTGACTCTAAAGGTTAGCCTGTCCTTGCAACCCTTTAGAGCATAGAAAATGCAGCTGTTTTAGCCATTTTTATAATTCTTTAACTAGAGGAATTATAGAGTGATTTGATTCTTATCATAGAGAAATGATTTTGATTGTTGTTTGACTGTTTATGGGGTTGTGGAGCCTGCAGTTGTAGGGGGATTTAGTATTTGAAACTCTTGTCTTGGATCTTTGTTTTTTTTTCCCCTTCTGATGTATTTTTCCCCTTAAGTGATAGATAAGTTGTAGAAACAGAACCGTAGTGGGAAAATATTGTTGCTTAGTAGGTAATTCCATGTGCCTGGGCCTTGGAGTCCTGGCTGTCACCCAATGGCCACTACTGAAGAATGAATAGTGGCTTACTTTGAAGAAGAAAGATTATAGTAACTTACAGAATTATCTTTAAGAGCACCTGGTTGACCATAAAGTAGAAATGAATTAATCGAACATCTGTGCAATTCGACTTCGTTCTGAAGTTAAAGATTGTAAAATCAAACGTTTGCACAGAGTTTTGTGATGTGTCTAGTAAATAAAAAGGACAGCTTTTCTTGAGCTGTTACAGAGGGGACCAAGGGACAGTGTCCGTGTCTTTTCACCAATGCCACACACCCTTCTCGAGCTCTGAACTCAGCTTGAGCTGGCCTCCAGCAGGGACATGCCACCCCAGCCCCCAGGTGAGGGGGTGTAACAGATTTCCTGGGAAGGGTGACATGGGGACATATTGGGGTGAGAGCAGCTGAGGGAATGTTCGGCAGAGGAGGAAGGACTTCTGGGGTCTTCCACAGACTGGACCACTGCACTTGCACATAGACAAGGGAGCTCAGATGGAGTGGTTGAAAGGGGGAAACCCAGAGGGCCAAGGCACTTGTCCATATGGGAGACATGGGTTGAGCTAAATAACATTGCCTGATGCATACAAAGGTGGGACTGTGGGACAAGCTTGAATGGCATTGTCAGAGCAGGGGCTGGCCACAGGACAAGCCTGAATGGGAATGTCAGAGCAGAGGCTGGGCCACAGCACCCATCAGCAAGAGAGACAACTGGTTCTGGGGTAGATTCTATAAGACATTTGTGGGCTCACCTCTGTGGGACTATAGCACCTTTCAATTTACATGGAGAGCTGGTGCTATTAATGAACCTAGACAGACTGGACCACAGACTCATCTGACAGGAACCCACCAGACACTTGTGGGAGCCAGGGCTGGGAGGTAGTCAAACTGGGTCAGGCTACACCACCAGCCAGTACTTGCAAAGGCTGGGACTGAGGGCGCACCATGCCAAGCATGGCCATGGCACCCACAACTTGTATGGGATTCAGGGCTGGTAGCAGGCCTGGAAAGGGAGCTTGTGGAAGTCCCTACTATGCTGCAAGACCCAGGAATGGGGAGCAGGCTTAGTAGGGGAACCTCTGAGACCCCCTGGTGGACTGCTGCTTCCATGGGTGATTGTGAGAGCTGGGACTGCGGGTGGGCTGGTCTGGGTAGTCTACCATACACACTGGCATGATAGAGTCAGAATGTGTGTGTGAGCCAGTCAAGTTGGCGGCTGCACTAGCTGCCAAGAGCTATGACTGAGTACAACTCATATCAGTCTGGATTGCAATACCTACTGGCCAAACAAGATCTGGAGCTGGGAGCATGCCTGGCAGTGGAACTGCGGGCGCTCCCCTGCTAGGCTGTACCTACCACTGATGAGCAGGAGAACCAGGGGGCAGGCCAGAGTGGACAAGGTAGCATCACCAGATGGTATCCATGGGTGTGCCCATGAGCCAGATGGGGATGTATACTGGGTCAGGCAAGGCCACAGCAGAAGCTGGTACATACAAAAACCATGGCTGAGTGGAGCCCTGGTTGGGGGTTACTGGAGGAGTGCCCCAGCCACTGGTATGTGTGGCAGGCTGGCTGGGCTGGGCTACAGCACCCAGTGGTTCACCTTGCATGAGATACGGGATTTGGGCAGAACTGAGCAGGCAGTTGCACCCACTGGTATGTGCGTTGGCTGGTACAGGTGACAGACCAAACCTCACCCTGTACTGGCTGGTGCACACAGAGTTGAGTCTGAGGTCACCTCAGACAATTAGACTGCTGGACTCAGATCCCAGCCACAGGGACAGTCACAGGGTGTGTGGTCTGATATTGGACTGGGTCTGCTTAGTTGACTATGCCTGTGCAGTGGCCAGCATGCACACATGCACATGGGGGACGTGGTAGCCAGCTCATCTAGGCCAGCAGGGATGGCCAGTGCCTCGTCAGACGATCAACAGCAGAAAAGGCCAGACAATGATTATTTTTTGTAAGTGACTACTTTATTATTCTATCATGAAGTTCCATAGCCTGTGGGATTTATTTCTCCTTCCCCCACTAATTTCTCCCATTTATTACAGTGGAATAGTCCTTCATAAACAGTCACATGTCCATCACTCTGCTAGCTAAGTATAACCTTACATTGCAGATACAGACAATGTCAGAGAGCCCAGGATCCTATTGTCAAGACATATTTCACAGTTTCTTTTAGAGTTCGCCTTTGTGGACAATTCAGACTAAACTTTGCAGCATGTTCTTGGGTCTGCGGATGTGTGAGGTGAACTCTGTTTTCCAATAGACCTTATAGACCTTGGCTAGCTTTTCTCAGCCCAGGAGCAATGAAACCAACGACTTTCCAAACTCTCAAAACCACTCAAGGAATGCCCTCAGAACACTCCTTCCCACAATGTGGTCTCCATGGTGTCATCAGCTCACCGTCCCCTCATCCCTGGGTGCTGATGCAGTTTGTTAGCAAGAAGGGGCCCCCTC